AACTTATAGCAAAAAAATGTAATTGATTTAGTGAATGAATAATAGATTATTATTTATGAGTATCGTACTACCTTATACAATCATTTATTCTTGTGTTTCCTTTTTCATGTTTATACCTCCTCAGTAGCTTAAATTATTCAAACTTCAACAATCGTCCATACTTTTGGAAGTAAGTAGTGAATCAAGACTGCCATGACTTAATTGTAAATTGCCAATTAAGGTTAATACAATGCACTTGAAATTTGTACAATATTCATGAGTACTTTCAAAATAGGGATTTTAAGTATTGGATAGACCCATGCTTAGAGATTACTTCATGGATCTTGTCATGAGTAATTCTAAGACGATAATGTCTTTTATTCTTCAAACAAAGATATATAAGTTTGTAATTTATGAATCGAATGTATATTGGTATTGGGTAAATGCATCCATAACTTGATGTTATAAAACATAGTATCATATATGATTTGGTGAGTAAAGGTTACAGTGATGTAGTCAAAGTGATATCTTTAGGCCCCTCGATGATTTGATGTTGACTATATAGTGTTGGGCCCAGCTAGGACCAAATGATCTATTCAATTGAAGTCTAAGAAAGTCTTTACAAATTCAGAAATAGAGAAGCAGAATCTTGGAAAATGATAATGAATTTAATCCATGTCTCATGTCCATACGATGTCTTGAGAACAAAGGATTACTTGATCACTTATCTTAGGGTCGATGACTGATTTGAATCAGATTTTGGCAGTGGCTTAGAAAAGCACACATTGCGGTTTACTTCATGGTCTATACTTATAGTTGTAGTTATAAATTTATCCAATTGAGAGACTTTTGGGTTAAGGTGTCTAAGCCAATAACTAAATTGGTATATTCTTTAAATGAAAGCAAAGTCCTTTTAGGGTTTCCCTCAGAACTAATAACTGAGTAGAATTACATTTTGAGAGAGGGTAATTTGTTAGTTTATTATATGAATAATAAATTAATTGGAAATTAAAATAAATGATTTATTAATATATTATATGATTAATATATTAATATAAATAGTAGTTATTAATTTAGAATTAATCGAAAATTAATTGGAATTAATTTTGGGGTTAGTTAGAATTAATTGGAAGTACAATGACTAGGTTGTAAATGTTCAATAGTTGAACAAGAGAGGGATTCTAGAATCCTCCTTGCATGGCCAGTTATAGGTTGTACATTAACGGTTTTAGAATGCTCCTTGTCGATAATTAAGGAGTTTGATCATTACCATATTTGAGATATTATTATTATATTCAAATTAGGGTTATATAAGGATTCCTTATCAACTATAAATAGGACCCCTTGGTTTCAACGTTTTGTCCACTTCCTTGACTACTCCTATAGTCGAAATTTTACTACTACATTCTTACTTCTCTTGTGTTCTTGTTGCTAGGGTTTGGGTAGAATCCATTAGAGGCGTCATTTATTTGGTGCTAGTCTTTCCATGTTTCACAACTACAAGGAATGGTGTGATTTGATTGTAATAAGAAATCAAAAGGTATGTAGTATTCACCATGTGATTTTTAAATTACACTACGATTAATGTAGTTTAGTTGTTTATTGTATGTTGCTATCAAGGTGTATGACAGATCTTATATAGGATGCATGTACCCTATGAATTGTTAATTGTTTTCCGCATTATATAATTTTGTTTTCTATAAAACCCAACAGTGAATGTAATGGGCCAAATCATAGTCTTACATCACTCCCGGCCTATTACATCCAACGTCCTACTTCAACCATGTGAATGTTTTCATCCTCCCACAATCTTACAACTCTTACAGCCTATTTTAGCCATGTGAATGTTGTGGTCCTCCCGTAGTCTTACAACACTTTCATAATTGTCATGGGCACCCTCTTGGTTTTTCAGAAAATGCTACAAATATATTAAGCAAAAATGAACACGAGACGAACTCCTAGTCAACTAGACCCCATCAGGTGTTTGGTTCATGCAAGGAACCCCAAAGCCTTCATCAAACAAGAATAGAATGAAAGACCCTCACATAACCCTCGACCTAAGCCTGAGTACTAACTCTATCTAGGGAGGATTCTGATACCTAGGGTATCCATGATGAGATAACCTTGAGTCCTCATCATTAGCTTCATGGGTCACTACTGACTAACGAACAACATACCTTGGAAAAAGCTTCATTCCTTACAATGACTCGAACCTGTTATCCCTTACCCTTAAAGAAGGCACTTCAAGACAATATGCACAAAAAAGTTATTCTATCTAATAAAGCTATTCTCCCCCAATTAGAGTTAGCTAGGCTTCGTCGAATTCATAACTTTTTGAACTTCTGAGGCAATCCAATAACATCACCTCTTGATTCCTAACAACCATCCCTGAAATCACGAAGCATCGGAGAATCCAAATCCTTCAAGCAAAACTCAAGAGCTAAAACACACATCTACAAACTCACAACAACATCAATCCACTCATATATAATCATCCAAAATAAAACAAGAGTTGATTAAGACATTGCCATTCACCTAATCATTCAAGATTACAAATGAAATAGCAAAAGCATGAAATGGAAAGGAACTGTCGAAACCAATGAACAATACATTCGACCCTACTAAAGATCTATTAACTCAAACCCCAGTTGTGGAACTCCAACTGTCCCACATTATCGATCCAGTAACTTCCAAGCCAAACATATTAGATCCAAAACCGTATCGTCTACTCTATGAGGACAATCAACCTTAACATGGCCTGGCTAGCTGCAAAATAATAATACCCTTAGCTCCATCTTACTATAGTCCCAGCTTTAGTGACCCTCCTTACTGTATTCAAAACATCCAAAAATGGGCGCACGACAAATACCCAAATGATTCCAACCACAAGGTCCGTGAGTCTCTCGATCTCCTATCCGAAAATCAACTATAGCCTTCTTGACTGTTGTTTCAGATGCATGAACCTAATCCTGCTTCCCTTTCTAATACTAGGTCTCCAACTCCAACTCTCCTTCCTGGTTGCCTCCACCAAACCATAAAAGACTCTTACGAATCTACATACTCACATGCAATTAACTGTATCAAACTAGACTTCAAGTAGCACATAACAAACAATTCCCTAGGCTATATGGCACCATATCTTTCACAAAATTCTATCATGCAACCCCTGATCAGTTCTACAGCTATATTCTAGCAAGAATAACAATTCATAGCATAAATACAAGATCATATGGATATATTCGGAATTACTTACTACCTGAGCTCCGACCAACTATACGCGTCGCATCCTCCTATTGTTATAAAATATTTTAAGAAAATCATTTTATTGAATAAAAGCATTCTCTTTCAAAAACTGATTTAGAAAATCTCTTAGTCCTCAATTTGAGCTCAGACACACCACAAGGTATGCCCAAATCCCTCAAACTAAGGCTCTGAGGCCAACTTGTACTGTACCGAAAATTTCTAAAAGATTTTTCATTTACTAAAACCATACATTATCAGAGTTAAATTACAAAACCGCGAAAATGAACATCGAGTTCCTCTCACGAACAACCTACAAAAATATTTATCAACAACTGTAAGCATAAAACTTAATGAGTTCCCTGGTATACCACATATTCCATCATATATGAAATGCATCCACATAAAGTTCGCATCTCTAGCGCCGACCTACCACATCTCTTGGCAACAAGCATGTAAAGCAATCATATTTAAAATAAAGGGTCCACTCCAACCCAAGTGACAAATCCTGGTCTTTACTTGTACAAGGGACAAATCCTGGTCTTTCTATGCCATTACCAAGGGACAAATCCTGGTCTTTACTTGTACAAGTGCCATGGGCCAGATCCTAGTCTTCCATACAATTTCTAGGGACCTAACCCTAGTCTTTCACATAAATTTCGGGGCTCTGATCCTAGTCTTACATGTAATACATAGAGTCATATGTATTCATGGATCAGATAGACATACAATTTAGACAACAACATTGCAATATAGCATTACACCAAGAGCTCTTAGGAGATCCAACTTAGACTACATAAAACCAAATTTGTCATTACCATAAAATCATATAGCATAAATACATAACAAAAACTAGCTTATTACATACCTTTGGCAACTAGCACTACTAGAAAAAAGGCCTTTTACGACGCACAAAATACGATGCTCATTGATCTATGTTACGCAAAGGAGAGTGACATTAGAAAAATGTCATCTCTTCAAAAAATTTAAGGATAGAAGACACGCATTATTGCGTGCCCTTAAATTAGTGTCTAAAAAAACACGGAGGGCACCTATAATAAAATGCGCGTCGTCTAAGGATGTCGCTTTATAATTTTTAACGGAACGCGCGTTCCATCCTATAACAGTAGGGGGAAATGAAATTTTGAAAAAATTAAAAATCCTGCCTTCCTTTTTTTTTTCTCCTTTCCCTCTTGCCCAAATTATGGACGCTCCTTCCTTCCCCCTCCCGACATTGACTGCTGCCTACTTCTTCCCTCAATTCTACCTACTGGAACCACCATATCTCCCACTCGATGTTGAAATTGTTAGAAAAAGCCCTAATTATACTCTCAAGTCTAAATACAGAAAAAATAGAAGATGGTGAAGAAGTAGCAGTAGAGGAAGTGGAGGATGAATAGTCGAAAATGGAAGGAATGGCATCAATAGCGTTGTTACTAGATGGGTCAATCTCGGGTCATTTTGTTCAGCTTCCCGAGTCCGTTTATTACCAGATGGGTCAATCTCGTCTTTTCGTCTCGACTTCATATCTCTCTGTAAAGCAACCGACGACTTCATATCAGAAGTGGAGGTGGCAGCCTAAAGACTGTAATTTGCCAAAGTAAGCATACTCTGTTCTTCCACTTTTTAAAATCGAATTAATTGTTGAATTCTTGATGATTTTAATTGTGTGTTTTGGGGGAAATGAAATGAAGGTTTATAGGGAAATTGTTGGTGGAGAAATCGAAGAACAAGAGGCTTATGTTCGTTGGAGATTCGTTGAATAGAAATCAATGGTGTGCATGGTTCAATCCATAGTCACAGGATTCGCCAAAGTAGTCACGATCCACGTTCCAAACGGCTCGATCCCAAACGGGGTACGATTGCGTACCGATCGCCGACAGAAACGCCCTCCGGTACGTCATGCTTGCGATCCCACCAATTCTTTAAATCGATACCTGAAACGTGAAATTGGCAAATTGGATTGCACAGAAACGCGATTGGGATCGGGAATTTTGGTTTTGGAACGCCGATTTGTGAAATTGGCGGGAAATTGTTTTTATCCGGAGAAAAGTCACCGACGCTTGATTTCTTCCTTAAGCCCTCGATTCCATGTTAGGTGTTTGGACTTCCAGATCTGATTCTTCTTTATCACTTTTAATAATATATAATAGCTATAACACTTATCCAATATCATCACTTCACCATGATTTCACTTTTGTTCTACACCTTTCAGGAAGAGTTGTTGATGGAAGAGAGATGATGGTTTAATTTGCCAAATATGGGCCTAATGCTGAAAAAATGTGAGTCACATTCACATATAATCTAATATATTTCTAAATTCCAAGAATCAGATATGAAAAAGTATATGGTTGTTTGACTAATGTGGTTGTTTTTATTCTTGTTTTAGTCACAAGGGAAGGATACTTGAACCAGTAGAAAAGCTGAAGGGTGGATTAAGGAGCCGAAGTCCTAGACCAAGGTATGATGAGAATGTAGTTTTGACCATTCTACCCTTGTATTGGAGTTGATGTTTACCCAATGTAGTTCCAGGTATAAGATGAATACAAGGGCTACAGGAGGATAAGTCGCAGCAGTAGCAGGGACAGGTATTATGGAAGGGACAAAGATCGTTACAGAAGTAGGACCCTCATGCAGTAGGAGTAGGAGCCCTGATTATCATAGAAGAAACAGGAGGGGTAGATATGATGATGATTATGATGATGAGAGAAGCCCAAGTAGGTCTCCTATAAGGTAAAAAGACGTAAATGCCCTTATCATTAAAAATAGCATCCAAAAAGTTTTGTTTGTCTGTTTAAAGTTGATGTTTCATTAGAAACCTGATGGACTATTCACTATTCTATATGTGTTTGTTACTTACATAGAAGTACTAGTGTTGAAAAGACTAGAATGCCCTTATCATGTGATGTGTCAATAAACTGATGGATTACACAGAAGCAGGTCTCCTCCACGTAGGAGTAGGTCACCTTCTAGAAGCAGAAGCCCTGAAGGAGGAGGAAATGAGAAAGCATCAACATCATCACCCTATTCCCATGGTAGAGCTGATTCTAGAAGCCCTTTGCAGCGTTCTGATTCCAATGTAAGTTTTTTTTACCTGTGGAATCATTGATTCTGAGTGTTGATATTTTTTTTATTGATTACTTTTTATCTTATCTTTTATATATTATTAATTATTATTAACCCTTGGTTGTGGTATAATATGTAGGGTTTGCCTGGACCAATGGGGTTGATGAGTACTAGTCATTTGGAACAAGAAGCTGCAGTACTTGCTTTGTCAACTTTGATGACCATAGCTCCTGCAGAAGTTTATGCAGAATTTGAAAAGGTAATTTTTTTTTATTTATGAACTTTCAAAGCAACTTTTATTGTTTTACATCACTTGAATTTTAGTGCATTAGGTCGTATAATATGTTGAAATGTTGAACGTTTTATGATGAGATTGTTTCAAATAAGGGAAGTAGAATAAAGGATAAATTAATTCATAATGTCTATGAAACCCCGTATACCCTTCTCTTGAACGGTGAAATAAATTATAGAGGCGAGATAGAACAAAGGAGTATGGGGTGGCTGAATTATTCCATTTAGATCCTCATTACACAATAAGTTTATGTTTGAACCATATAAAAGTGTGTCTAGCTTTGTATGATCCAGTTGCAGCAAAAGATAAATTATTCAATTTTTTCAGCATCTGTTGTGTATGGTGACAGTTTTGTTTAGGTTGCACCCACTAAGAATGTATCAGCTTTTTTAGCATCTGTTGAAAGTGAATGTTCAAAAGGAAAAAACAATATAAGTGCACATTTGTTACTATGCTAATATGAATTGAGGATTAAGCTATTAGTTTCTAAATCACAAACAGTGTTTGCTGCCTTTCTTAATCTGTTTGAATACGAAATCAAGCCTGTGTTTATATTTGATTTGATTGTTTATGTGAGTTTTTGGTCGATTTTGGTTTAATGTTGTGATTAAAGTAGGGTTTGTTAGAATATAATGTTGCAGAAATTATCCTTATGGGTCTTGACACATCAAGTTTGTTAATTATTTAGAAAAATATTATAAATTATCTTTGATTTCATGAGAATATAAATTCTTGTTTGTCATATTGAATTCACATTCGGTAAAATGTTGTGTCTACATGATACTAAGAAATACAATTCTGTAATTGACTTGGGCATAAACATGTTATTTTGATCAAGAGAAAAAGAAAAATAGCCTAGATAATTAGCAACTTATAAGTAGGTTGGTTGGTGTTATGTGAAAGTGAAAGGGGTAAGTGAAATTTGAGAGTGATTTGTGTTTTTTTAGTCACATTGCATCGGACTCAATTCCAGCTTGGAAATAGTGGTTTGTTTGGTGCTAGTTATATTCAGGTAAAATATTTCCCATCTCTTATATTAATGTTTGGTTTTATGTTTGGCTTATTACATTACTTTTGTCTCCTTTGTTGTATTGATGAGGCTTGAGCATGCTGGGCTGTTAATGTTCCTATTTGTTTTCATTTATGCAGGTAACAATCTTGTTGAAAGGACTTATGAATCAGATATTAATGGTAACAAGTTTAACACTCGAGTCCATACGATTAGATGTTAATGGTAACAAGTTTAACACATGTGTCTTTGTTATACATACAAATTGAATGCAATGGATTGTATTTTTTGTATATGGTATTTTATTTTATATTATGCAATGGATTGTATTTTTTGTATATGGTATTTTATTTCTATTATGAGAGATTAAATGCAAATTTAATTTATAAATTAATAAATATATAAATATATATTTTTAAAAAAAAATTAAAATTACGATACGCAAAAATGTGTGTCGTCTTCATTTATGACATGGCCTTTCTTGACTGGTGCTTCCTTGATACGCATTGCGTGTCATAAACACGCGCGTCGTAAGGTTACGACACGCAAATGCGTGTTGTCATCCTTTATGACAGGGCCTTTCTTGATACGCATTGCGTGTCATAACCGCGCGTCGTAAATGCGCGTCATAAATATGCGTCGTAAATGCGCCTCGTCTATAGACGACGTGCAAAAGCGCGTCATCTCTCTTTATGACAGGGCCTTCCTTGACGCGCATTTGCGCGTCGTCTAAGCGTTTTACGACGCACAATGAGCCTCGTAAAAGGCCTTTTTTCTAGTAGTGTAGCCTTCCCTAGTTACCCGACCATCGACCACTTGTCAACTAAGTCCTTCGCTGGTCAAACATACATGATCGTGATAGCTAGGCTTCCCTAATTATCCTAACCAAACATAACTCATAGCAGTGTCATACGAGCAACAGGCAAGACCCTACCAATCTAGCATACCAAGACACCAAGTATCCTAAACTGCACATGCATATCAAGGAGTCATCCTAGTCAACTAGCATATTCTTACTCTAACAATACTTTTATCCTACCATGCAAAAGATATATAATGGATACGTGGCATAGTGAGAAACTTGCATAAACTAAATAATCGAAGAAGCACAACAACAATCTGATGGGTTTTGAGCACTCTAACAACCTTAAGGTGCACATACAACCCTAAATGCTTTGGATCTATGTTTTCTCTAATTATACATGCAATTTGATTTTCCAAAGCATTATCCTAACTAGCATACAAAACATGGGTACTTGTATAACAAAAACTAGTCGGATGACATAACTTTTCTTGTAGCTTGATACCATGGACCTTTAAGAGCCTAGCACCCCAAATGTGATGCCTCAAACGCTTCGCAAAACACCACCACCAATGGAGGACTTGAGAGAGAATATCTTGCACTCAAAAATCGGCTATGCTCTTCCAAAGATCACTAGGTGCCGATTTCATGAGCTAAGGGTCTCCTTTTATAGTGTGGCAAGGATTAGGGTTACCCCATGTAAATCCTAATGTGCATGACCTTTCATCTTACTTAGGATCCATGGGTTAAACCTCCATTGACTATCCATAGACTACCATATTGGTTTAGCCCATCCTAAATAACTATATGCCCACACTATAAGAATCATTGATTTACTAAATCAATCTCCTTACATTTAATTAGTCTCTTTTGATCACTAAATTAATTCTTGATCGATACTAATTAAATAATATGATTTCATATTAATATATTAGAACTTATAATATATTAATAAATCATATATAACCTCTTCTCAAAAGTCCATCCTTACAAATTGCTCAAGTGAAATGCAACCCAAATGGACCATGCTATTTTCGGGTCAAGTACATACCAAATATAGTTATGGACTTAGACACCTTATCCAACACAATCTTACACCTTGAACTGCTTAATCCCACGAATTGAATAGTACCAAAAGAGATAAATCAATCAACAATCAAAAACCTCTAAGTTTGACATCAATTCAAATTGGTCAAAAGTTAACGATTAACAGTAAAAAAAAGTCAATGATTAATCAGGTCAACAACCACGATGATATGGTGACCTCTTGGCTATGTCGTGGGTATGTCCAGACAAAATAGTCAGCATTTAGGACATATCCATGTTGTGGTCCTTCCTTAGAAACTTCGTGGGAATGTTAGGACCAAAACAAATAACGAAGCAAGACTTCACCACATCGTGGTCATTCATTGGCCACTTCCATATATCCATTTTCTCTCGTTAAGGACTTAATCCATTTAGTCATTTGCTCCAACTTTCCATAGGGCTTCCTTGCCCTTAAATTAACCAAAAAACAAGTTACTTTATGGACATGCATGTCCAATGCATGTCACTCCCAAAACTAGGTCAAGAGGGGTAAGAAATGGAGTTAAAATTCCACGCATTGTAGCAAAACAACATGAGAGTCTAGATCAAGAACATAGAATGACCAAGGTTACTCAAGAAGTGTTATAGTTGCCAACTTTATCAAAACCAACTATTCATGCCAAAATAACTTGAAGGAAAATAAGCTTAAAACATATATCTGTAATATATGAAACATAAAGGTGAGAACTTAGAGACTCACACAAGTCCAGAAGATGCACCAAAATATGGAGGCAAGATGCTAGTTGATCCTTTCTCAACAAAGTTGTCCTTCAACCTTCAAATGAGCAAAACAACAACAAAGAGCTCAAGATACAAGATGAGAGACTAGGTTTTCAATATAGGAGAGTGGAGACTAAAGGAAATGACATAGTCCTAGTGAGAAGGCCTTTAAATACGGAGGAAACCCTAAAAATCATGCATTTGGGTTGCAGCAGCTGCCACATCGTGGCCTTCCTGTTTCCATGTCGTGGCGACCATCCAAATATATGTTCTTAAAATTAGTTTGCCACATCGTAACACTCCATTCTCCACACTGTGGCATAAGGTTTTTCCCAAAAACCTTACCTTTGATACCATTGAGTCATCAACTAATCTATTCGGAAAAACGGGTGTTACAATCCTTGAGAGCCTCACTAACTTGCTCTAAAGCGCGTTCTTCGATATGTTCAGGGAACCATTACTCATAGGCTTCATGTTCGTCCTTCTCATGGTTATCGTTTGGTCTCTTATAGTGATGTTGACTAGGTTGGTTGTCCTCAGACAAGACGATCCACTTCTGGTTTTAGTGTCTATCTCAGTGGCAGTCGTGTTTTGTGGTCTTCGAAGCAGCAACATGTTGTCTCGTGGTCTAGTGTTGAGGCTGAGTAGATGGGATAGTAAATGTTGTTATTGAATTGTCTTCTAACTCGTGCCACGGTTGTTTTCTATGACAATGCTAGTGCCATATAATTGGCGTCTAAACCAGTTCAGCACCAAAGAACCAAACATGTGGAAATAGACTTACATTTTGTTAGGGAACGCGTTGCTGTTAGTCAAGTTCACATTATGCATGTTCCCTTTTCTTATCAGTTTGTTGAGATTTTTACAAAGGGTCATCCTACACAATTATTCTTAGATTTTCATAACAGTTTAAGCATACGTTAACCACCCGTTCAAACTAAGGGAGTGTGTTAGAAAATATTGATTTTAATAGTATCAGTTAGTGTAGAGTCCTTATTGTAACATTTGTGTCTATTTAAAGAGATGGAATATACAGAAACCTTAAAGTGTATTTTTATTAAACAACATGAGGGATTCAAGAGTAGGAAGAGTCTTGTCTTCATCATTAATAATAGGCGATGATGAAGAAGAGATACCATCGATGTGTCTTAACAGCTTCTGGTAAGTGATAAGTGAAAATAAGGAGCATATGATTTCTCTATAGAAGATAATTATTAATAGGATATTCATAGGGAAGAAACCAACACGAGAAAGAGAAGAAGATTTGATGGTTAGATCCCAAGAAAGATTGAATAGGTGAGAAGGGTGGGGTTAGAAAATGTAAATTCGGAAGGAGAAAGGAATGACTGATACCATTTAAAGAATATGGTCACTTAGGTGTTGTTTATTTTTTTAGGCGAAAACAACTGAAGTCAACGGACCATATCTGTAACCCTCTGCAGTAGAAGATGTTGACTAAGTGAATACAACCTATAATAAGAAGTTTGTTTGTTTTTTAACATTTGCAGACTGCTGCAATAAACTGAAATTAACTATATAATATTTTAAAATAAATCTAAAGTAAAAAATTCATTTAGTTTAATCATATGCAAATCAAATATATAGATCATTATGATGAAATGATTATTAAAGAGGTTTATATAAAAGAATTAGATATTATATTTGCTAAATAACAATAAATAAAATTGTTAATATAGCTAAAAACATACTCATTTTTGTTAAAATTTTAAAGACAATGATTATTTTTCTGGTTAACTTCAATAAATCTTTTAATTTTAATGGTTAACTTTATAATTTATTAATATTTTGTTATAGATAATATAACACAAAAAATATTTATATGAAATTTTACCAAATGGTTTTAAAATTATCTGAAATTATGTAAAATATACTTAAGTTATTTATAATATTATTTAAATATTATTAAATTAATAAACATATTGAAAAAAATTAAAACAAATCTAAGTTGAATAATATAACTTAAAGTAAGTGAGAAATGGTTTGAAGATGATGGTCTAGTATTGCGCAACACAACACACGCGCTATATATTTTAAGTTACAAGCCTTTCAAAAATACAAACAGCTGCAAAATATCAAATGATACGTAATTGTTGTGCGGCGCAACAAGAAATGATCGGAAGTGATTTTTGTGAGAGCATCTTACCTCCTTGATTAATGAGGTTAGGATTACTATATAGAGGAAAAATTACAAACAACTACCCCATACTTTAGGAGATACACTAAGGTAAATAATTCAAATTATCTAAATTATCTACTAACAAGAAGCATACATTCAACTCCCCACCTCTCGTATTCTTTTAAGATTTTACCAAGAGACACATCGACTTATCCCAAATTACGACGGTAGAATTTCCCGATGATTTCAAGTTTTGGAGCTCATCAACCAACACCCATCCCGAACTTATTCCCAACATCCGATATCGATCCTGGTTGCATTAATACACTTCTGTTACATCTTTAAAGTGCACACTCGAATTTCCTAACAATTTACATAAACATGTTATAAACCTACTTTCTATACATATCTCTCTATAGCCACAAATTATATAAAACGACACGTGTGCAAATAAACAATTTCCGCCTCCAATATATATCGTCATTTTCCTCTTCCACCAAATTCCAATTTCTTGCCGTCCAAAAGCGTAGGCTATGAAGAATACCGGCGGCGAGGAAGAACTGAACCATGCCTTATTACAACGGCCGGCGGGAGGAGACGCTAAATCAAGATTTTGGATTGAATCAAAGAAGCTCTGGTACATAGTCGGTCCTTCCATCTTCAGCCGTGTCGCCACCTTTACCATGAACGTCGTCACCCAAGCGTTCGCCGGCCACCTTGGTGACCTGGAACTCGCAGCCATCACCATCTCCACCGGCGTCATCGTCGGCTTCAATTTCGGCCTAATTGTAAGTATTATGTAATCCATCTTTAGTTAATAAATATTGTTTTATTGCACGCCAGTAAATTCTTATCAGATGACATCCTCTCTTGATGAATATGTTCTTTTTGTCATTTCACTATACTTTGGGGGGCATATTGCAATATGTACTGTGGACGATGGTCGACCTCTAAAACTGCCACGTAGGAGGAACATATAACATTATACACCTAAAAATAGAAAGAGTATACGTTTGTTGAAGGTAAAGTTTGGAAAGATAACAATTCCTGTGATCTGCGGCGTATGTGTATACTTCATAAATGCAAAATTATATGCTGTTTTTCAATTCTCATATTTTTTTCTCAATGTTCATGCAAGTTTAAAATTGGAAAATGATTTGTGTATAACAATTCAATTTTTGTTCATACATAATAATTTATATTTTAAAATATTATAGTTATAACTTTTAAAAATATAAATTGTTGTGTATAGATAAATATGTTGTGTACAACAGTTTAATGATATTTTTTTATTATATATTTTTACAAAATATTTTTAAGGGGTGGTTTCTATAAAACCAAATATATAAGTTATAATTAGAAATTTTTGACAAAATATATGATACAGGGTTCATTTAGAACAGATCGGTCTCTTTAATGATGTAACTTTAAAAAAAAAAAATCAATTCTTATTATTTTTTACATCAAAATAATAGAAAAAGGGATTCAAAGAGAAAATTATTTCTAAAAGTTAAATAACAATTATATAACTTGTGTGATTTTATTTTATTTTGTTTAAAATCACTTTATGTTGAAGAAAAAAAAAAAAAAGGAGTCCATGGTATCCACCTGTTCTCTTTCTTTCAAATTGATAATTGAAACCCATATTGGGTGACATTTACAGCTTAGTTACATTGTCCCACCAAAAAAATGTACTCATTGTGTTTTTACTTTTCCTATTATGGTACAAATAGTAATACATTTGGAACGGTCGAAGCGACCGATTCAATACCAGACTAGTCTTGATAAAGACTGGTCCGGTTAGTTCTGTTTGTACCTCTATTAGAAACGAGTCCTATCCAGTAAACATTTTGTACATTTATGATAGCTCGGGATGGCAAGTGCATTGGAGACGCTGTGTGGGCAAGCATTCGGGGCGAAAAGATACAACATGATCGGGATATATATGCAAAGATCATGGATTGTTTTATTGTTTTGTTGTATCGTGACACTGCCACTATACATATACGCCACCCCGATCTTAAAATTATTAGGTCAATCAGATGAAGTGGCCGAACTATCAGGAAAAGCCGCAATCTGGCTCATCCCACAACATTTTTCATTTGCATTCCTGTTCCCAGTACAACGGTTCTTGCAAAGCCAACTCAAAACTCCAATTTTGGCGTGGGTTTCTTTAGTGATTCTTGCAATCCATATCTTGATTACTTGGCTATTTACTTCGGTTTTTGAGTTTGGAATTGTGGGGACGGTTGTGGCATTGGACATTTCTTGGTGGTTGAATTTTGTTGGGTTGTTTGCCTATACTGTTTATGGTGGGTGTCCTTTGACATGGAACGGTTTCTCTACCGAAGCATTTTCGGGTTTGTGGGAATTTGTAAAGCTTTCGGCTGCATCCGGTGTCATGCTTTGGTATAATTCTTCCCTGGTTTACAAGTATCCAAATTTCTAACCTTGTTTTAGGTTCTAGTCATCGGATGTCATATGTCCGACTATAAATGTTTTAGTCATCCAATATCAAATTAAATGACTAAACATATAGAAATTGATTGTGGATTAATAATGCATGATATGTGTATGCAGTTTGGAAAATTGGTACTATCGAATATTGATACTAATGACTGCATTTTTAAAGAATGCCACCATTGCCGTGGACGCGGTGTCGATTTGGTATTAACTCTTCGGTTTTATTATGATTGTAAAATATTTGTATTAACATACACAAGCTCAATTTCAATTACTAAGACACCTTATTTATGGTTGTGACAATATTTGCAGCATGAACATCAATGGTTGGGAAATGATGATTCCCCTAGCCTTTTTTGCCGGGATCGGGTATGAACACTCTTCTGCATTTTGAAAGTGAAAAAAAGGTTTTAAAGTTTTCATATGATATTGTTTATGGTTTATGTATTTTGGATTAAAATTAAGCAACAAGCATTTAATAAAACATAATTTAAGCGATGATACAATGTATCATCAATTTTATGCATGTAACCATGTGATCGATAGAGACTATAATTTATGGCATTTGGCGTAACGTTGTTATCATGATTGGGTACAAATTGTTCTTTCTCGAAAACAACCATTCTTCCTCCCTGACATCCTAACAGTCGTTTTTATAAGTAGTGTTGTCAATCTCAATCATATCTATGGTGTATAACGAGTCAAAATTATTTTGACAGTTTAATAAAATGTTTATAGATTAAAAATTTGTTAGTAACATACAATGGCGGAGCCAGATTGTTAGAGGTGGGGTCCAAGCACTTCATTTGGAAGAGGATTAGAGCCATAATATTACCATATATACCCTTAAATAATTTTCTTTTTACTAAAAAACACTCTCAATGGCACCCACTCTTACAAGAAAAGTCCCTCATTGAATTTTTTTTTGTTGAAAAAAACTATAAATATCCTAAAATTTCAAAGTGTTGTAATTTTATTTGTTTTTTTTTTAATATGATGGACCCCATTAATTTCCATCCTGGATCCGCCACTGGTAACATATATTCTTATGAAAGTGATATTATTATTTATGT